CCCCCCACAGCCAGCCTTGTGAGAACCAGGTGCCAGGCTGAGCCCAGGCCCTGCAGCCCACCCCAGGCCGAGCCCAGGCCCCGTGGCCGCCCCGAGGGACCGCCCGCCCCACCTCTCCTGCACCAGGCGCTTGAAGGCAGCCGGGTTGGACGCCATGAGGCTCTGGGCCTCTGAGAAGCTGAGCTGCACTGGGTAGTAGCCGCCATTGAACGGGTTGTGACAGGACGTCTGGTCTGACCCCAGATCCACCAGCAGCTCCCCGGTCGTGTCCAGTTCATGGACCAGCCGCTCCCTGGGGGCAGCAGCGAGATGCTCAGCGCAGGGCAGACCGAGAGCAGGGGGTGCCGGCTCCTGGTGGTCGGCACCCATTTTCCCACCCTTGGGCCGCTTTCCCGTGGACGGGGCCTGTGTGGCGTGGTAGGCCTTGCAGGATGCCAGCCGTCCACAGTGGGATAGAACCAGGCTCGGGGCTTGCGTCTTAGGAGGTCCGGGCTGGCACTGGGCACTCTGCGTGGGGAATCTGCCTACATGGGGGTCCCCAAGACCACCAAGCCCCACCACCACCTACCAGAGATCCACTACGTTGCCATGGTAGCCAAGGCTGAGAACCTCCTTGTTTTTTCTTGCTACCCTAGAAGGACACGGGAACAAAACAGATGGCCATCACGTGTGTCCACAGCCGCCTGCACCAGCTGTCCCCACCACGCCCGGGCAGCGCAACGCTGGCAAACCAACAGACTCAGGAGCCCGAGAGGGGCTGTGCGCTGCCGGTCCCTGGGCTGGGAGGCACACCCCTGTGGCCGACCTTCCCAGACAGGTGAGCAGGTGGACACGGCCACAGTGGGAAACAGGTCACACACGCTTCCCTAAACCGTGGCCAGCAAGACACTGGCCCCAACCCACCAGAGCCACCCAAGAAGCAAACGCCACAGCCTCCCGCACGCCAGCAGTAATGGTGAGAAACGGAACTCAGAAAGCCACCTCCTGCGGCCAGCTCTCCCCGCAAGGCCTCGGCGGGCTCGGGAGTGTGCCCGCCTGCAGCCAGGTGTCAGGTCCTGGACAGTCCCACTCCCTGCCCCTCCGCGCAGGCGCGGCTGCTCCGAGCAGAGCGGCGCTGTACCTGAGCCTGGCAATGCAGTGGTCCAGGCTGTCCGTCACTTCCATCAGCCAGCCCTGCTGGTGGCGCTTTACAAGCGCAGCTTTGTCAACCTGGGGCCGTGAGACACAAGGCCGCCCGTCACCCATTTCACCACCACGGAGAGCACAGAGACCACCGCACTGCGGGCAGTCCCAGCAGGCGCTGCAGGACGCCTGGCCACCCCTGGCCATCCGTTCAGGGTGACACTGCGCTCAGCCCCCGGAGATGAATCACCTTCAGTCACCTGCCCGTGACTCCCCCCCCCCCCCCCCCCGTGGACAGGACCTCTGTCTGACCCACGACTAACCAATGAGCACGGGCTTCTGAGACACAACTTCCCAGCAGAAATAATCTAGCTGACACTTCCCTTCTCACTTATTTTTCCTGACTTGAATGTGGAAGAGTTGCTGGAGCTAAGCAGCTGTTTTGTATCCATGAGGAGAATCTAGAGACGTTGCCCCTGATAGTACTGAGCTTTAGAACCAACATCACTGCTGGTGAAACAAGAAAAAGAAAGTGCTGTGGACAGAAGCTGCTGTGTTACCCCGTGCTAAATCTCAGCGCAGGCTCTCTGGCCATGTGGAGCACCATTAATATCATTATTATTACAGGACAGGAGTTGGAGTCAGGGCCTGGTGCTCGCTAGACGAGCACTCTAGCACTCGGGCCTCATCTCCAGTCCCTTCCTGATCTTCTGTGGGTCTTTCCTGTTGCCCGCAGCCCAGTCAGTCCTGTGTGGGATGAGGCCCGTGTGGATGTAGCACGAGCGTCCCTGGACGCCACGGCTCACCATTTCCTACTCTCCTTCCCCTTCCTCCCTGGTCACCCACCATTGTCGTGAGCGCCAGAGCCCTGGGGTGGCCTCCACCGCTGGCCTGCCTCCGCTCCCGACTGAGCTGTTCACACTCTATCCCCACCCGGACCCCGGGCCTGGAGGGGCAGTGTCCATGAGCAGACACTCGTGGTTGTGTGGACGCCAGGTCAAGGGCCCTGAGCAGGGAGGTCAAGGGGCCCTGAGCAGGGAGGTCAAGGGGCACGGAGCAGGGGGGTCAAGGGGCACGGAGCAGGGAGGTCAAGGGGCACAAAGCAGGGAGGTCAAGGGGCACGGAGCAGGCGGAAGTCTGTGCTGGCAGGGCCTGGGGTCTACCCAGTGAGGGGGGCAAGGCTTTGTGGGAAAGGCCCTGAGAGAAGGGAAGGGAGGGGTGTGAGCAACTCCAGGAGGGAGGGAGGGAGGGAGGGAGCCAGGCCTCCCGCTTACCTCTGCTATCACCCCGATGCAGCCCACAATGACGGCGGCTTTGGCTTGCGCGCCACTCATTCCTCCGAGGCCGGAGGTGACGAAGACCTTGCCAGCCAAGTCCTCCACCCCCAGGTACCGACGCCCGGCGTTCAGCACTGTGAGCTGAGACGGGGAGCCCAGGGCTCAAGTTCAGTCCGCAGGCTCACCTCACAGGCCCACCCCACTTCTGGGGCCCCCTCTCTCACCACGGTGCCGTGGACGATCCCCTGGGGGCCGATGTAGCAGTAGCTGCCCGCCGTCATCTGCCCGTACCTGAGCACAGTGAGGGCTGAGCGGTGCCAGGCCTGGCTACCCACACGAACGCCCCACTACCCAAGAGAACCCAGGGATTCACCTGTGACTATGTCTGAGCTAGCTCATAATGCAATCTCGGAAGAAGTACAGAACCCCGATTTTATGTTCTTTTGTGTACATGTCTGACACATTTACAGGAAACCTCTAGAACACGTAAGGAAGACGTGGTCGTGCTGTGTCTGCAATGGCCTGTCTTTGGAGGACTGTGTAAGAGTGCGGAGCTGAGGGCGGCAGGCGTGGCGACAATGGAAGGCCGCACTAGCCAGCTGCATGCAGCAGCTTACAAACTTACATGGTGACGCCCAGGGCAAAGAGCTTCTCGTATTCTGTCCTGGAGGAGTAGTTGGGAATGACCTGGGAAAGGAACAGACAATGGGGGCCCAGAGACAGCGTCCTCCCTCCTCCCCCCTCCCCCAGCCCAGCCCCCGCCCAGCGGCGTCCCCCCCACCCCCACCTACCATGCCGTTGGTGATGACCAGCCTCGGGGCGCCAGGGCTGCTGGGGAAGAGGCCCAGTGGGTGTCCACTGTACATGACCAGGGTTTGTTCCTCTGTCATCTTCGACAAGTAGGACATGGTGAGCCAGAACTGCAGGGGGGGACGGCACAGGGCCGTGTAAGTGTTGGGGGCACTCCAGGGACTCCCAGACCACCCAGGGCCCGTGGCCCGGCCCCTCCGGGTCGCCTTTCCCCCTCGGGGCTCCCGGAGGGGAGTCTTCAGTTATAGCTGAGATGCGCCCAACAGCTCCAGGCCCCAGGGGCCGAGCGGGGAACTCCGGGCCTCCCAGGCCGGGGAGGAGGCGGGATCCCAGGTGCATGTACCTGAGCCCAGTTGCTGAACACCTGCCCGTTTCCTCCATAGGTCACGAGTTCCTGTGGAAACTGGGGGAGACGGGCGGGGCGGGGTCTGAGACGGGCGGGGGGGGGGGGCGGGCAGTGCACTGGGCGGGGCCTAGGGCAGGAGTGGGGCTAGGAGGAGCCGCTGTGGGATCCATGGCATCCAATATGGCAGTCTTGGGCCATGGGGGGCCTTGGAGCGTTGCTCCTATGTAAAAGACACTGCAATTTCAGAGACTTAGTATGAAAGGAATATAACACGCTTCGCCAGCGATACTTTATTAAGTGTTAAAACAACAGAAGGCTTGGGACCTATTGGGATAAATGAAGCACAGTAACTGTTTCTTTTTGTTCTTTCTTTTGGCTCTTGTAAATTGGGGTTACATATGCATTTATAGCCCTGGCATTGAGACTGGGGAGTGCTGTTACCTGGGCCACGGCAGGGTCCAAGTTGTTCATGATCATGTGCATGATGGCAGCCGCGGCCTTGGTCCGGCAGGGGTACTGGTCGAGGGGGTAGGCCCTGCAAGAGCCAGAGGAGGGCCGGCACCAGGCGTGAGCAAGTGAGGCACCCGCTCCTTCCTGCCTGGAGTCTGTGAGAGCCGGCACACAGCCCTCCCTCGGGGCCCCGCCTGGGGGTGCGCATGCGTGAGTGTGAGGCGTGCCCCGTGGGGTCCATCCCCCAGGGCCGCCCCTCTGTGCTAGGTGATCTGAGTTCCCCCAACCCACCCTATCCAACCTCCTCCCGTCTCATCAAGGACCCGAGGAGAAAGTCCCAGGAGCTGACGCCTCTGCCCCAGGCAGAGCGTGTGCTACGTTCCTCCATTCACTCATCCAACACTGCTGGGCACCAGAGGTGCTCAGAGGGCAGGTACTGAGGAGCGCGAGGGGCGTGGCCAGCTCTGGGGGACCGGTCCGGCGGGACCCAGCTTCTGAGGCTGGAGGCAGCACCCAGCTCCCGGGACACCCCAGTGCAGGCTCCGGCCTCCGCAGAGCCGTGGACTGGCATTCCCGGGCGAGGCCAGCCCGCCACGTCCCGTGGAGGCTGCTGTGCCGGGCTGAGACGCCACCCCTCCCACCCCGCTGCCCGGCCTCCCGCCATGGGCAAGGCCCCGCTTCCCAACAGGGTTTTGTACGCAGTTGGCTCCCCAGTTGCCCAGGATGAGGGGCCGGCCAGGGTGGCTCAGCTGACAGGTCCCCATCTCCTGGTCAGGACAGGGGTGCAGGCAGCTCCAGCCCCCCAGCACACGGAGGCCACCCAGCCCCTCCCTCACCCACCATGACCTCCCGTCCCGTGTGGCCCTGGCTGTGACCCCCGCAGCCCCGACTCACTTCAGCTCCATGCTGGGGCAGAGCCGGTACATGTAGATGTGCCCGTACAGGCGCAGCTCCTGGGCGAACTCGGGGGCCAGCAGCTCCTGGGCGCCGGGGGGGAAGTAGCGCAGGGCGTTCCGCAGCGCCAGCTGGGGGGGGCGGGGGGGGGAGGGCGGTGAGAGGCAGCGGCCCAGGCGCCATGCAGGGCCTGACAGCCCCCATGACGGGTCTGAAATCTGTCGGTGTGCACAGAGACCTCCTGGCTCTCATCAGCCCGCGCCCCGCACCACCCCTCTGCGGGGGCCTTCCTTCATCCCTGCCGCCTCCTTCCACGGGGGCCGGCCAGCTCCTCTCTCTTCTGGCTCATCATCGGCCCAAGCCTGCCCAGGGAACAAGCTGCTTGTCCCCAAGGAAGGACTGGATGGCACGGGGGCTTCAGGGCCGTGGCAGGTTGGGCAGGGGAGATGCACACGCTTAGGACGGTGGGTAGGGAGTGTGGCACGCACTTTGCACCTGCCTGGTGCCCAGCTTGGGAAGTGATACGGCCTGGGGCAACATCCGCCACCCCGCTGGGAGTCACAACAGTGCCCACCCGAGGCTCTGGAACCCGGAGGCTGGCCCCCCCCAGGGGGCTTCATGGAGGGGATGCAGGAAGCATCTCCAGCCCTTTTCTCCTGGATCATGCAGTGGGCCCAAGTCCCCTTTGTCCTGGAGAGGTCCTTGTTAAGAGGAAGGCAGCAGGGAGTCGGAGAGACATGAGGTGCTAGGCCCAGTCCAGCGTGGGGCTGCGTCAGCGTGAAGATGCTGAATTTCTGGCTCTGAAGACAGGAGAGCTGGGGAAGTAGGCGGCTGTCCAGAGCTTGCTTCGTGCACTCACAGGCTCTGCCTCCACTCCCTTTCCCCTCTGCAGGGTGGGCCCAGGCGCCCGGGAGGCTCAGTCGCAGTGAGATCACACTTAGAGGAGCGTGAGGCATGCCGCCTCTCACAATGACCACCTGCTCCAACCTGGCTCTGCCCGCATCCCTGCTCTCCAGGGAGTCTCTCAACCATCACCGAAATGTGCGGTGCACGTTAGTTTTCATCTTTGTTGTTGTTGGTTGTGGGGCCTGAACTCTGGGCCTGGGTGCTGTCCTTCAGCTCTTCAGCTCAAGGCGAGCACTCTACCACTTGAGCCACAGTGCCACTTCCTGTTTTCTGGTGGTTCATTGGAGATGAGAGTCTCACAGACTTTCCTGCCTGGGGTGGCTTTGAACCATGATCCTCAGATCTCAGCCTCCCGAGTCGCTAGGATGACAGGCATGGCACCCGGCTCATTCTTCATCTTTACAAGGTAATTTCCTTATTTGTGGAAAGGCATGGCAACAGGTAGATAAAGAGCACAGAAGGGAACGTTCGAGAGACTCTGAGCAGTTTGTATTGGCTAGGAAGTCTGGCCACAGGGTCTGGGGCCAGGCCAAGTGCACATTTACCCGTCTAGGTGGCAGCCACTTCACACCCCGCCTGCTCCTCCCACAGTGCCACTAGGTACGTGCCGGTGACCTTGATCCCATGTCTTCAGCTGTCCATGGGGACCACAGCTCCAAACCCCAGGGCCGCCCTGGCTGGCCCCTAAGGATGACCAGGCCTGGCACGGCATGGACATGGGCGCCCCTGCTCTGAGTTCCTGGAGGCAGGGGGCGCGGGAAGGAGGCTGCCCACCCAGACCACCCCAAGAGCTGGGGAAGACCAGGACAGATGCATTACCTGTTCCTCCTCAGGGCTGAGCCCGGGGGTCCTGACTGGGGCGTGGGGCACCCCAGGCCGGCGGCCCCGGTTCTCAGGGAGGGGGTGCAGGGGCAGGCCGGAGCACAGCTCTTGGAGGCTGGACATCTCTCTCTGTAGACTCGGAGGCAGAGACCAGCGGTGCGGGGGCGCTGGCAGCCAGCAGGGTGGGGCCAGCGGGGCCCACCCCAGCCCCTCCCCCAGCCCCTTATTGGGCCCAGGACTGGCACAGGGCGGGTCTTCCCGCCCTGGATGGCTGGCAGCCAGGTGTCCTGACCTGGGGAAGGGCAGCCCGGGCTGGGGAGATGGCTGCATGGGCCTCCTGTGCCTTTCAAATGGGGTGGCCTTGAGGGACTTCCTCTTTGGGATTGGGCATGGGGGGCAGGTGGGCTCTGAGGCCGGGGTTCGCTCTGGCAGTCTCGAGGGGGGGGGTTACACCAAGCGGCAGGACTGGAACGTGTGTCCCGGTGGCCCTGAACAGGCAGGACCTCTCCCCTAGCCAGTGTCCTGTGAAGGCCTCTTCCCTGACCGTGAGGGTGGCGTGCTGGCGGGGGCCTGCGGGGAGCCCTCCTCGCAGACCCAGGCCAAGCCCGTCTCACTCCCGCCAGGAATCCCAGGGCCCCGGCAGCCGCCCCAGCCTGTGCTGCTCAGCTCCTGGCCAGCCCGGCGGCCTTTGCCCATCCAGCCGCAGGTGGGGGGGGGAAGGGGGCAGCCAGTGGCGGGTGCAGGGGCAGTGACCCCGCACAGGGCCTGGGCCGGAAGGTGAAGTGCTCGTCCTTCCCAGTGCAGTGTCGGGGGGGCTCCCCCTTCCCATCAGCCCCGAGGTGCTGGGGGGTCTCACCCCTTCCCATCAGCCCCGAGGTGCTGGGGGGTCTCACCCCTTCCCATCAGCCCACTTCACAAGCCCTCGGCAGGGGTGGGCTCTGTGGGGCGGGAGGGTCGGGGCCTCGTTCCAGGAGGTGGCCTCACCCTTTCCCACCCCTCACCCCTTCCCACCCCTCACCCCTGCCCTGGCCTTTGACTGCCACCTATCTTCTTTCTAACAATTCTGTAAGTGTAAGTGAAATGGTATCCTGGGTGCTGAGCTGTTCATTAGCAGATTAATGGAATCCGAGGAGGGCAGAAGTGCAGGCCACAGCTGTGTGTGTGTGTGTGTGTGTGTGTATAAGAGCAACGTCTCCTCTCACACTGGGGGCTGCGGTACCCAGAGGGGCGCTGCTTGGAAGGGCAGCCGGCATTTCCGCTGCTCCTCCAGCTGCCGGGCTCTGGGGCACAGCTGACAGCGCCTCCTCCTCGCGCTTAGCCCAGCTGGGGGCAGACAGAGGCGTGAAGTCCTTCTGCAGCCCTCTGACCGACCTCCTCCTCCGCCTAAGGACTCTCTAGCAGCCAGCCCCAGACGTTGCTGTTCCAAAGAGCCTGCTCTTCCATGGAGAGGCTGGGCTGAGAGGCCTGGAGAACCGTCCGGCCTGCCCCGCCTGCTGCAGAAGCAGCCCTGGGCCAGGGCTCGGTGGATAAACACCAGGCTCCCTGAGTTCAAGGACCGGGCCCCTGGGGGTGGGGCCGGTGCTGGCCTGTCTCCTCCCCTGTGGGGGAGGGGCAGCCTGTGGTCCCTGCTTAATGGGGGTTCTCCCCAGGCCTCCTCAAGAGGAGGACTCCCCTTCCGGGTCCCTTCCCTCTCCCCCTGACAGACAGCTCCTCAAAGAGCCATAATTTGATCCATCAGAAACCAGAAAACTGTTTTGTAAGTTCTCCTAGTTCCTTTTTCTTGGCAGTGTTGGAGTTTGAACTGAGGACCTTGTGTACAAGCTAGGCACTCCAGCCGCATCACAACCCTCTTTGCTTGCATGTCTTGAACGGGGTCTCATGTTTACGACTAGGCCAGCCTGGATCACCATCCTCTTATTTATGCTTCCTGCATAACCGAGCTGACAGGTACATGCAATGCCACCTTGCCAAGCTGTTATTGTTGGAGATGGGGTTCTTTTTCCCTAGGCTGGTCTTGAACCATGGATCTTCCTGATCTCTGAACCCTTAGTAGCTATGTTATAGGCATGAACCATTGTGTTTGACTGAACTTTCCTAATTAAGAACTGTTTACAACCAAGTAAAAAATGTAATATTGTTCAGAAGATTTATAGGCAATATTTATATCAACTGTGACGCTGTATTACAGTTTTCTAACATGTCCCTATTGGGGAAACTAGACAAAGTGTATATGGGCTTTCTCTGTATGATTCTTACATGAATCTAGTTGTCCTCAAACAAATTGTTTAATTAGCAAACAAGCCCACATTGCAGGGGCTCTCACAGAGGCCAAAGGTCCCCCACTCAGCTGGCCTCACGGCCAACTTCCTGTGGAGAGAGAGATCTAGCCACAGGCAAGTTCTGGGGGGCTGGGCTTCCTGTCCGTCTCTTACCCCTTCCCTCTCATCCACCCCAGGTCTCCTGGGTGTGGTTGGAAAACATGTCCCCGCGGTCTTGGGCACATCTCCAGAGCGATTCTGGGAACCAACACAAGGCGGCCCCAGGCCAGTCCGATATGGCCACACAGCCCACCCCCGAGGCCTGCGCCTGAGGCTCCGAGGACAGCGGCCTCCCGCAGCGGCGGTGAGCTGTCTGCGTGTGGGCATGCGCGCTTCCCACGCCAGCTTCCTCACCGAGCCCCAGGCGAGAAGCCTGCAGCCACCGTCCTCCTCAGGTCCTGACCCACAGAGCTGAGAGCACAATGCGACTCAGCAATACCACTAGTCACGTCCGTGCCCTCAGGCCTTTGCCGTGGCAGCTCCTGGGCCCGAACCGTGTGTTCCCCAGAGAGCAGCGGCCTCCTCCATCCTGCAGCGCCCCCCATCCCTTGAACACACTCTCTCCCTCCATGGTGACATGACATGCTATATAGCTTTGACTCCTGTTGCCTTTGCCTCAGCTAGAACCTCAGCCCCTGGGGCAAGGATGGAGTCAGCCTTGTTTGCCCTCCTGGAGCTTCTGGAGCTGCGAGCTCCATGCAAAGCAGGGGTTGGGTCAGCTGGCAAACAAATGGATGTGAGTCCCTGCAAGAGGGTAGAGAATCATCTCAACTAGCTACTGAGGCTCTGGGCTATAGTTAGGCATCACACATCCTACCCCAACCCCCAGACTTTCCTGGTGGGTCTCCAGGGACTCTGTCTCCAGGGCTATCAGTGGAAGAAACTGGGCTGAAATGCTGTTTGCAATTCTGGTCACCAAGTGGCAGCCTAGAAGGCCAAGACACAGAAAAGTAAGGGACTGAGCTGGCTCAGGAACGCGGGTCTGGGGAGAGTTGGGGTAGCCAGAGGATGCGGATGGCAGTCCCGGGCCATGCTGGGGGCAGCCCCGGCCCTGCCCCCACCGCGAGAGAACTGCTGCGGCCAGTCAGGCGGTCTTACAGGCAGATGACTATGATTTGCTTAGTATTTTCCCTCAAATACATTTTTAAAAATCATTTTTTTGTGCTAATACTGTCCTTGAGCTGTTTTGTTCAAGGCTAGAGCTCTACTACTTGAGCCACAGCTCCACTTCTGACTTTTTTGGTGTTTCATTGGAGATAGGAGTCTCATGGACTTTACTGTCTGGGCTTTGAACTAGCTCCTCCTGATTAGCTGTAATCATTAGGGTTACAGGCGTGAGCCACTGGTGTCCAGCAAAATACATCTTTCAAAACATAGCTGTGTACTAGGAAGAAATTGTGAGATAAAATTAGTTTCATCAGGCAGTAACTATAAAATGAATTACTGATATCATTGAGCTCCAGACTGTTACAAACATCCTGTGGGTTATTTAATCACCACACTGTGAGGTTTAGGGTTACCCCACCTCACAGAGGACTGGGTGTAGGGGGTTAGGCGACTCTCAACCTCATACAGCAGGTAGGGGGCACTGGCAGGGTTTGGTGGCCACATTTTCCAAGAGCAGTTAAAAAAAAGAGCTCAGAGCAATACCTTACATCACACACTCGCTGCTAAGTGCTGGTTCAAACCCACAGCCCTGTGTACTTGTAGGGCCCCAAATGACTCACTTCTGGGCTGGGGCCTAGCTGGCTGCGCTTATCCTTTTGTTGTTGGTGATGGTGGCTCACTGACACTCAACCACCACACCAGACCCCAATCCTTCCTTTATGTTCCAAGCCTGGACTCTACTCTCACTGTCCCTTGCTCCTCTCCTCCATGGTCTTCTGTAAGTCCTGAGTGCCTGCCTGGTGCCCGCAGCTGCGTCTGAGATGAGGCCACAGCAGGCCTGGTGCTCAGAGGTCACGCCTGAGCCCCTCTGCTCCTGGGAGCCGTACAGGACCCGTGTGAGCTGGGATTTGGGCAGGATGCCGAGGCTGCAGGTGGACCTGCGTCCCAAGCCTAAGGGGCGGTGGGAACCCAGGAGTTTGTACAGGGGCTGCTGCCTGGGCTCCTGGGCTCCCCAGAGCAGGCGTTGGGCCCCCAGCACTTAAGGCAATCAAAAGACCCCGGGAGGTGTCCACTCCGTTCTGTTCCGGTGGCCAGAGACAGTGCTCCTTGGCCTCGGGTGGAAGCAAATTCCAGGGGGTGGACCCTCACCGGAGAGGGGCCCCGACCTGGTCTCCACCCAGCGAGCTGGGCTCTGCCAGCTGCGGCATGGTGCGAGAAGCAGGCGCACCCGCGGCTGGCAGGGCTGGGCTGGCTTCTCCCTGGGCACGGGGCAGGGAGCGCAGTGGAATACCTCCAATCCCTGTGACTATTCATGGAAGCTGTTGTCGTAGACACCCTACTTAGTGCTCATTTCTCCTTTAAAGAAGCTGAGCTGTGAGGTGAAGGCAGCGATTTGTGCCCTCACTGACAGCAGTTAGACCTTTCCTGCTGCCTCCAGCGGAGGACTGAGGCCCGGCGCCCCGCGGTGGACGCCTCACCGCAGCCCGGCCTCCCCGAACCTCCGGAGACCCCGAGGAGGCTGCGCGGCAACCACAGCTGCTCGCTGCCGAGCAGAGCTCCGGCTCGGGAAGGCACCGTCCCAGCCGCGGCTCTGCTCTGCCCTTTCCAGCACCACCCACCGCAGGCCGCCTGGAGGACCCTGCCGCCATTGCCACCCCGGCCAGAGGGGGCGCACTTCCCCTGGGGGGGGAAGATCCA